GGTCCCATAGCCATATCATTAGACAAACAACTCCAAGCAAATGGTTGCTTTTGCACCCCCTACCCCAATCCCATCATATTCATACCAATGGCTCCAATCAACATCAAACGAAATTAATCAAGTCCAATCAGTATCAAACCAGCAGCAGTTTGTACTACTTCTTGTTTAATGTTTGTGGAGGTCTGTTAGGTAGGCCCACCTCTCTTAAACAATTGTAAAATACCATTAAAGTGTAGCTATTTCCCTCTTTTATTGATTTTGCATATACGCTCACCCATACAAGCCAAGGTTGATGTGTTTGTATATGTATGTTTGTGACGGAGAGTTGGATTTCGTAATAACTGTGGCCCTAAAATGAACCAAACTAGTCTTTTGATTTATTTCATCGATCTTTAATTAGAAAAAATTATATCGGTTCGTTCAAATCTAAGAATCAATCTGTTTAGCCTTTCTAAAAAAATAATAATATTTTCTATCATTAGAGTTTCACCGGCCAATACATGCAAGATCCTGACGGTCGGTCCAACAATATTGAAAATAAAATTTGGATTTTAGTCTCCAAATTTGTATAAAGTCATATAATTTTAGTTTCAATCAAAATTTTTATTACAATAATTTGGACTCATGACTCAATCCGTAATATTAAAAACTTAAAAATTTGAACTTAAAAAAATAAAAAAGTGCTAAAAATATCAACTCATATTTGATAAAAAAATAAAAAACAGAAATACAAGTTAAAATTAAACACTCTTTTCATTAAAAAATAAAAGTAATCGACAACATTAGCATATCCATTTTTTATCTTTCTCTTAAATAAAAAAAAATTAATTTTTTTTTAAAAATTAATAATAATAATTGTTTTGAGTGATCCCAAATCTGGTTGGAACACTGGTTTAAACAGAACACTCTTCACCTATATGCTAAGTTTAGTTTGTTTAATTTCAACCACAAAACTCTATACTTTTAGTTTAATTCTCCACAATGAAAATTTACCTTTTGAGAGGTTTCTAAATTTTTTTTTCCCAAACCAACTACTCCCTCCGTTCTTAAATATCTGTCGTTTAAGATTTTTGCACAAGGATTAAAGAAGCTATTAAATAACTGTAATATGAGTAAAAAATAATTACACAAAATTAAAATATCCTTATTTAATATGTATTGGGAAGGAAAAGAATATGAAAGACATTTAACCTCCACCTAATCTAATGCATTGAAAAATTAAGAGTAAATTTGAAAGAAAAAATATTAATTATGCTTTGGTTTCATAAAACGACAGATATTATGGAACAAAAAAAATTATATAAAACGACAAATATTATAAAACAAAAAAAATTATATAAAATGACATATATTTCAGAATGAAAGGTATAATATTTTTTCACCGTTTCTTGGGATTTTTCCATTTTTTCAGATTAAGGTAGAGAAAACCATACCTCTTTCAACAAGGAAACAAAATAGCATAGTCACCTTAGGACACAAGCTCCAATGAATACCATTTGAACACAAGCTTCAATGCATCTCCTAAAAGGATGAGAGAGAGAGAGAGAGAGATTGGGTGCTCAAGGAAATTAAAGAGGGTCACAAGAGACGAGGTGGATTAGTATTAGGAACTCAAGGATTTGACTTTGTGCTGAACAAAGATTGATAAGGATGCCTCACCTTAGTCATACAATTACTGCAACATTAATGATGTTTTGTTGATTTGAAACAAATACAATGTAAATAGAGCAATATTATAAAATTCAAATAAAACTCAAAAAAATTATAATTTAAATGGATATCATTCTTTGAATTATGTAATATTTTTCATGTATATATATTACAAATTATATTTGAATTGAGATGCTAATAGTCAATGTCATTAATAATGGAGTTTCCAAAGAGCTTCATCAACACAATTTTCATCTTTAATGATGGGATTATGGTTCTAGTCATGCTAGTTATTATGGTTTCAAGTCATTGTCATTGTCATGTGGGATCAAAAGTATCCAATTCGGTGTATAGAGTATGTGACCTTCACGTTACGATTATTCAGTCACTCTAATATAAATTATAATAATTTAGATATTTTTTTTGGACTAAACCTGCATAACTTTAAAACCTATTATAAAAAAGTTAAATCTCACACTCATAACAGTTTCGTACACACTTTCATCAAGTTGGGTGGGAGAAAGTAAAGAAACTTAGTACTTTAAACTCGTATGGTACATCTTGGTCCAAGTCTCAAGAATCTTGACTCTTGAATCCTTTGGATTCAGATAGATATTCAAAGAGTTGATTTTACTCCGAATCTGCCTCATATAAGAGTTGTAAAGTCAAGATTTGACCACGTTATCAACCTCGATGTCCAATATTATAGTTGCACGAGATATGCATAACTCAGAAAATTTAAGATTTAGTAAAATACTATTATTATTATCTGATTATTTATTTAATCGCTTTTTTGGGGTAAACTTACATAGTATTTCTTACTTTCTCATACCACTCTCATGCATATCTTACTCTCCCCCTAAAAATATGATACTGCTGCCATAGTTTTTCAATCCTTTGGCCAAATAGTCATATTATTACAAGGTACTACCAAGGTGAAAAATTCTTTCAAGTCCTACACCCATGCTGCTATGCATTTGTAGGGTTTTTATGCTCAATGTTTTTCATCTAGGGTTCATGCTGTGTTGATAATCCTAGGTAGAAGATTAAATGTCAACGATCTAGCATGAACAACATGAACAATAATAACTACAACAATAATTTATGAGTTAACTCAAGATAATCAGTTTTGCTTTGTTATTGCACATACATTGTTGAACATGTTTGAAAGGAAAAAGTAAGATTAGGTCAACAAACTTTAAGGTAAAATATGAGTGCTAATCAAGAATTGTGGGGAAAAAAAATAATCATAATTCCGACCAAAAAGAAAAGAAACCATGATCAATCTTTTCAAGTCATGTTTGAGACATCTAATCTTGTTTAATCTTTATGCCTTTTCCATTTTTAATCAAACCATGATGCTAACATATCTGCACTGCCTTTTATGAAGATTTAGATAAAGGCTTATGCTTAGGATATTGTACAATATTCTTTTGTAAAAAAAGAGATCGGTAAAAATAAGAATCACATCACTACGATTATAAAAGTTAAACTTAGTTACAAGTACACCACGGTGTTCGTCGATATGAATGTTTATACTTAATTTTTTGGATCTATCCCTGTTTACACGAAAACCACACAAACCTTATGACCTTGATTGCATGAACTCATGGCACGAGATAAAAGCTAAATTAAATCAGCAATAATGCTAAAATAAAAGCTGGCACAAGTAGTTAAAACTCTATGAATATATGCTTAAAACAAATGATCCTCAAGCGTGCAAGTAGGATTACACGTATCATATCTTTATTGGGTAAAAAAAGAGTTATCATAACTTTTTCGATTCTGTAATGTTACTGAGTATAATAAATTGTATGGACAATGCAGTTGAAAGGCACTTAAATGACAGATTACTTGTATTAATACACAGTAAGTTATTTCTCTTCAAGATTCAGTCAGTGGCTGTTGGTGTAACTTCTGATATTGGTTCAAATTGTGCCCTATAGTTCCAAAACACATGGGGGCATGCCAAACTTGAAGAAAATGTCCATTTGTGAACACCAAGAGCAAAAAGTATACAAATTCAGATGCTTGCTCTTAGGAAAAAGTGTTTTATCAGCGTGACATAAAAGGGCATGCTTTAGGACCGACGTCGGTGCCAATATTGTCGTAATACAGTGGTAAAAGCTTTTAAAATGATGTTGCATGCCAATATTGTCGTAGTAAAATGTCAAAAGCTTTAAAATGATGTTGCGTGCCTCCCCGTTTCAAGTCATTACAGTAATGCCTTGTCAAAAAGAGTCACTATCATAACTATTGAGTTTTTAACGATGTTGACAGTTTTTGGTATTGTATTGAAAGTTATTATTTAAATAAATTAGAATCTTCAACAGGTTAATGTACAATTTAAAAGGGTATTTGAAAAAGTTGAGATTTGGGGCTAATACAAAACTTTCAGGATTGATCTCTCCACATTGACATTGACTTTATTTATAGTTACTTTTTCAATTTGTGTTCGATAGTATACCAAACTCGAAACCATATACTTTTTGCAAAAACTAGAGGGGTCTTAGCTACAATATCAAAAACAAAGCCACCACAGAAACAAGTCCATCCACTGAGTTGTTACAATTGCTGATTGGAAACCAGTTAATCGACTTCTCATAGAGTAATCAGGACCATGTAAAGTGTTGCGTTGGAGGGCCATAGTCTATTGGATTCCATGTGAGGTTGGTGAAAGGCATCATCAACTTATTATTGGCCCTGCATCAACATATTCTGTGTATGGAGGTATGGAGACTAGAGAATTTGTGTGTGTGTGGTCATTGGTAAGGATGACCCCCCTCCTGTTTTGTTAGGTTCGGTAATTTCATTTTCTTGGCATATTTTAGTTGTATTATTTTAGATGATGACATATTAGAGTCATATTGGCGTTAGACATGTGCAATCCATCAATCTGAACAAAGACTCACTTGCAAATATACTACACCTATATCCATATGAATTATATGTTACTTGAGTCTTTACCAATAGTTCTATGACAATTTATATACTACTAAATTAAAAATTCATACCGTATCAATTACAATTCTTTCAATGATATATTAATAAGTCATATTAATTTTGGGTTCATGCTAGATGGTGGAATCGTATTACGGATTGTGCTAAAAAATATCGCGGGAGTTGGGGGTATTGGTTTCATTATTATTAGTTCAATAAAAGTATAGTCCTGTCGTTATTATAGACAGATAAATAATGTAATAGGAGTCCCATGGAGCCAAACACCAAACAATCCTTATATATCTCTATTCAGTAACTCATTATCACCTCACAGTTGTTCACTGAACCCTCTCTCTCTTTCTCTCTCTCTCTCGCTTGTGAACTAGTGAAGGTAACAAAAGCTAACAACAATGGTGGCCAAGAAGCCAAGAATAGTGATAATTGGAGCAGGAATGGCTGGTCTCACAGCTGCCAACAAACTATACACATGTGCAGGCTCAAAAGAACTATTTGAGCTCTGTATTGTTGAAGGTGGGAACAGAATAGGAGGGAGAATCAACACTTCAGAGTTTGGGGGTGACAGAATAGAGATGGGTGCTACTTGGATCCATGGAATTGGAGGCAGCCCTATTCACAAAATTGCTCAAGAAATCAATTCACTTGAGTCTGAGCAGCCATGGGAGTGTATGGATGGGTTTCTAGATGAACCAGTCACCATTGCTGAAGGTGGGTATGAGCTTAATCCCTCTCTTGTTGAGTCTATTACAAGTCTTTTCAAGAATCTTATGGATTTTGCTCAAGGGAAACTGATTGAAGATGGTGTAAACAATGAAGAACTTGACTATTGTAAGCTGGCAGCTAAGGCTGCTGATCCTTGTTCCTGCAATGGTGGCCTTGAAAAGCTTAGTCTTGGTTATTTTCTGAGGCAGGGCCTTGAGGCTTACTGGAGTTCAGTGAAAGATCAAGAGGAGGTTAAAGGGTTTGGTGGGCGGAGAAGAAAATCCATAGAAGAGGCCATTTTTGCAATGCAGGAGAACATTCAAAGGACTTATACTTCAGCTGGTGATTTGCTAACCCTTGATTACACTGCAGAAAGCGAGTATTGCCTTTTCCCTGGTGAAGAAATCACCATTGCTAAAGGTTACTTGAGCATAATTGAGTTTTTAGCGTCTGTATTACCTCCTGGTTTGATCCAATTAGGCCGAAAAGTTACTAAAATTGAGTGGCAGCCTAATGAACAACTACTGTTTGATATGGAAAATGGTGGTGGTTCTAGGCCAGTGAAGCTACATTTTTGTGATGGGTCGACCATGTCAGCTGATCACATCATTGTTACGGTTTCATTGGGGGTTCTTAAGAAGGGGATTCACGACGAATCGGGTATGTTTAATCCTCCACTTCCTGCCTTCAAGACGCAGGCAATTTCGAGGCTCGGGTATGGTGTTGTTAACAAGCTGTTTGTGCAATTGAGTCCAGTTAATGGGCAAGAAGCCGATGATTTCAACAAGTTTCCATTTCTGCAAATGGTGTTCCATCAATCGGACTCCAAACTAAGGCACCCAAAAATTCCTTGGTGGATGAGGAGGACAGCTTCTTTATGTCCCATCTATAGCAAATCAGGTGTTCTTCTGTCTTGGTTTGCTGGTAGAGAAGCTCTTGAGCTTGAATCTCTTGAAGATGAAGAGATTCTTGACTCTGTTTCAACAACAATCTCTAGCCTTTTATCCAATTCTCCATGCCATATGAATTCTAATTCTCATGATTTATGCAATGGGAATGTGAATTATGTGAAAGGCTGTAATGGGAGAGAATTGAAGTTCAAAAAGGTTTTGAAGAGCAAATGGGGCACTGACCCACTTTTCTTGGGATCATATAGTTATGTAGCTGTTGGATCAAGTGGAGATGATTTGGACTCTATGGCTATGCCATTGCCCCAAAACATCAATCATGGGTCTAATGCTTCACCTCCTCTTCAAATTCTATTTGCAGGGGAAGCAACCCATAGAACCCATTATTCTACTACTCATGGTGCTTACTTTAGTGGTCTTAGAGAAGCCAATAGGCTTCTTCAACACTACCACTGTATTGGAGTATGAAAATTGTTGTTGCATTATTAGAACACTAGGCAAGTTTATTGGAGCACCCATTTCTCTTATCCCCTTCTCATATTCAATTGCAAACATCTTTCTTATTTCCCCTCTATAATGGGAGTTGGACAGAGAGAGGAAACTATAGAAGTTGGGGGAATGAAAGGGAGAGATGGGGACATTTTGAGATGTATTGAATTAACTTAAAGAAGCTTCTTTTCAATTTTCTATTGCTTTCTCTTTGTCTGTGAGTTGTGAGTCTGCTTTTCTATTTGATGATGTCTTGATCTTCAAAGCAAACCAGTTGAGATTATGTTTGGCATTGTATATTTGAAAGATAAAGTTAAAGAAAGCTTTGCATCTCATCATCTTTTCTCTGGTTTTGATTCACTGGACAGGATCCGATAAACCCGGTTCTTTCCAACTTGGAATTTTCTGCACTCTCTCTTCATGTACAAACACATCCTTATCACTCCACGCATAATTTCTAAGGCACCTCTTAGTTTAAGCAACTTGGGACTTTGGGACAATCTGTGAGCTGGCTGAATTTTGTGTTCTTCACATGAATTTAGGCAGAGTCACCATAGAGGGGTCCCAAATGGTACCATTTGCTGTATCAAGTCAGCCCAAAGGGCACATAAGGTCCAATAAGACTTGTTTCCATTATGTCCTCAACTAAGAGACAGTAAATAGAGGTGCTCATGGCCATCTGATTGCTCTGATCTTTAGTGCAGAAAGATTTTTAGGAGGGACCCGTTGGCATGATAGGTCCCATTCCATGCATATGCAGACACACTGAGGCAGTTAGCCCTTGGTAAACGTTGAATAGTGCCCTACCCATTTGGTGTACTAGATTTCTCTACATAGCAAATCATAACCGGGCGAGTCATCTAAGACATCTATGAGACAGATGTGTATCAATTTCAAAACAAAAGGTGTCAAGTCGGATATGACTTAATTGGATCATACTAGTATTGATCTATGCTTTGATCCATATTACTATAGAAGAATTTGACTGTCCATACTCCATCCCAAACACGTAGCTCCTTGTGGTCATGCTGTCATTTAACTCTTTAGATCACATCCTGTGGTCTTATAAAACGAAATATCAATGGTCCAATAAGGTACCAAAGCCTTGAAAAAAGATCTTTCCCAGCTTTTCCATCATCAATTATAGTGATCAATTCCATATGACCAAAAACAGATCACTTAATTCATGGCACTTTGTTTCACAAATGCATCAAATATCTGTTGAGATTTTTGCCTTGGGTTTGATGTTGTAGGGTATCTGTTTGGGGACACTGAGTGGTCAAATCATCAGAGCTGTTCATGAAGAATCCAGTCTCCATTATTGTAAGATTGCATCCTCTCTCTCTCTCTCTCTCTCTCCCCCCCCCCCCCCAAAAAAAAAAAAAAAAAAAAACCAAAACCAAAACCAATTGCAAAAAAAAAAGGGGTGGGAAAGGAAAAGCAACTGGAATGGCCCACTTGATGTCTATTTTTGCCTCGTGGGTTTCAATCACCCTTTGATGATTGTGCATATCACAGACCATCTGTCATCCAGTCCTTGTCTGATTCAGCTATTTATCATAAACAAACAAGTGAGAATCTCTATTCCCCACCTTCCACCTACTGGCTAATCAAACATGTTTATTGCAAAACTTGACCCACTTTTGCTCTAATCCTATCAATGCCAATCCTTTCCTTGATAATAATGTTAGCTAAGTTAATTCTCATGGTCCTACTTGTCTCTGGGGAACCTTTTGCAATGATCAAAACCTAATTATAGTTCAAAAAATCAGCATAATTGCCTTTGATTATTATTCTAATTAAGTGGTTATTCTCTCTTTGCAACCACTCTGTTGGTGACACCTCCAACTGATGCTAGAGCAATAATTTATATCTTTCTTGTTGGATCCTTGTGATCTTTCCACTATTGAAACTTATCAGATCAAAAAAAAAAAAATTTATGTACTTAGAACTTTGATTATCTTTGCAGAGCAACTTAAAAAGTTAAATAATCCATGACGCCTTTAAACTTCTAAGAGATGAGTGGTGGATAGTCCCCTCAATTCAGATTGGTTAATTCTCAGATTCAAACCACCTAATAGTCACTTGTTATCACTCCAAGTTATCAACTTCCGACTCAACTGTCTTCACAAGACAGTTTTTCATTAAAGTTTAGAAATTAAATGGCCCACTTACTGATCTGCAAATCTTAGATTATCCTCACCACACATAAGGGCCCTTGCTTTATTCTAGTCAAATGAGAACAACATTTCATCCTTAAGAGAATCAATGGGAGTCTGTGACAGAGAGGATAACTGATTTAAGTATATTATCATATATGGGTATCTGAACTTTCTCTAGAGAGGTCTGTGATGAAAGCAGGACCTTTTAACTAAAAGAAAAAACCACATGCCTAAAAAATTGTATGCAGGAATCTAGGCTTCTGGTATAGGGCAATAGGGACTTTGGAGGCTTCTCTAGCCCTTGTAACTCTCATACTCTTGATCCTGAAAACTCTCGTTTACATACACTTGATTTTTAAACTGCCTAGATAGCCCCTTATCGTATGGAGTTGATTTTGAGAGGAATCGTAAATTTAAATATTTTGAATTCAACTCTCGCTAGTGTTTTCTCGGTTTAACTATACTGAGTAGCCTGGATGATTACGGCATCTAAGGTTTACTCTGCAAAAGTATGTCGGATGTGGTTCTCCTACTTCTGGGAGACTTCTCCAAGACATTTATGATTTTTCAAAAAACACCATCTTTTTAGGGATTTGTCCTTCATAACAGTTCAAGAACAACACCTCCTTGAATTTTTGTCCTATTACTGCATGGTCCAGCAAGGTTAAGCCAATTCTGGAACAGCCAGAAGAAAACAAAATTTATGATTTGATGCCATTTTGGCTTGTGGGGTTGGTTCCTGATCATCTAAGACAGCAACATGCTAATATCGGGTCTTCTACTCTTCTCCTTAAAACTTTTTGTTAGAGTTGAAAATTTTTTGTGGTCTAAATCAAAATTGGTGAATTGAGAACCTTTTAGTGGTAGCATCTGCATCAAGTTGTTGTCTCAGCATCAACACTGTTTGATTCTACCTCTATGGAATCCAATGTATGTTATGCTGGTCATATCTAAAGAGATATATATAGACAAACCAAGGTCTTCGATTCGAAACTTAAAAATACAGTTACGTTCGGTAAAAAGAGCTTTGCCGCCATTGTGGTCCTACCTGGCTCGAATCCAGAGTAGTCGGAACCTGTTGTGGCTACTGGATACCGAATGGTCTGACCAAAAAAATTATATAGATGAACAAAGGTTTGTTTGTACTTGATTGTCATGATACGCTGCTATTACATGATTTTAAGGTACAGAATTACAGATAACCTTGTTTTGTTTCTTTTTTTTCCTTGTTTTGTTTCTTTTTTTGCACCATCAAAGAATCATGCTAACCACAATGTGTTTTATAAACTCGTGACAATAACATAAATTTTAAATATGTGCAATTACTTGTAATCTCGAAGAAATCCAAATCTCTTCTAATGAAAGTGAAATGCGATGTAAAAAGGTCATTACCCACTTTACTCCCATTGAAAAAGGGTGTTGAGAGTCATGAACTAGGTACGAACCTTATGTTTTACACTAATTACATAAAGTGGTTGTCCTTAAATTCGAACTCATAATCACATCGGCGTTAGCCCGATTATTATACCACCATATAAAGCCGTGAGTTTTACCCATAAAAAAATCTATTCCTTAGTTTCAGATGAACTTGGGATATGTATTTTCCTGAACTATGTATTTCGTATGAATTTGTTTCCACAGAATATAGTGTGTAAAGGTGACAAACAAAATAGGAAGAGAAACTTACAGACCTCTGTTTTTTGGTTTTAATAACGCTGGGACATTGAGACCCCAGTACAACTAATTGTTTATGTGTCAGTTATGGAATTAATATTCCTTTGTAGATATTATATGAACAGCAGATATGTTTAAAAGGACACGTTCTGGAAGTATTAGAACAGTTGCAGCTGTCCACGTAGATGAAATCAATTCGACCCTATTAATTACTCACGTCTTGCTACAATCGATTAGTGCTTGACTTAATTTAAAATGACATGATTTGCATTTAAGATGACACGACTCAAACGCCATCCTCAACTGTCACAAGCAATACACAGTGCAACAAATTGTTTAAGTGTAAGTGATGTCATTAATATGAATACCATCAAGGCGATACGATTACTTAAGTGTCTAAGTTATCGCTTTTCAAAATGAACACAACTCAAACATGACATAATACAACTTAATTGACACCTCCAAATTACATCAATGAGGAACAGAAGCAGCTGTCCACATAGATGAAATCAATTCCATGTTAGGTCAGATTTGAAACCGTTCCATTGTAGCATTTGAAGGAGATTAAGTAACTACCTGGGAGGAGAGAGAACATGAATCTATTTAGTTGCATCGATGCAATTGTATGCGAAGGAAATCGCAATGTTCACCTTTTTGTGAAATTGATCATTACTCTATGTACAATTATGGTGAATAATAAGAAATCAAATAATTACGAAAGTAAGAGAAAATAACACAGAGATTTACGTGGTTTGACAATGTGCCTACATCCACAGGAGCGAGCGGCCGTTCTTTTTTATTATTCAAAATAGGGTTACATCTTAAATATTTATATAATCTTAGTACGGACGTATTTACAAAATACCCATGTACTGTACCACGGGGGCGTTGCCCCTGCACCCCTAACTAATCAGCATCCCCCCCATACATAAAATATATCAATCCTATAAGGCAGATGTCGTCGCGGGCTCCGACATCTGTCTCCTTGCCATTGTGCACACAACAAATATAAGCTACACATACTCTAACACTCTACTTTTTTACCACTTTGGTGCGGACAATAACAATTATTGCTTCTAATTACATGTAGACTTGTATTGCAACTGGTTTTGCTTTGGAAAGGAGTTATCAAAGTACTGTTTTTGGAGATGGATCGAGTCATGAAAACAGTCTCGCTGCTTGTAGGGGTAAGATTACGTACATCTAACTCTTCCCAAATATCATAATGACAGGAGCCTCATGCACTATATATACATTTTTTTTGTTTTTGGAGAGGGTGAGCACTTGTCTATATCTAATCACTTCGATTTTTTTCTTTCAATTTTTCTCGATATACACTATTTGATATGAATTCAAGTAAAACTTACCATATACAAATGGATATTTTTCTTATAAACAATGAATGATTTATTGCTTGCAAATATTGAGAAAACATGTGATTTGACTGTTAATGAAGACATATGAAGTAAGTTGCAAATGAACGGGCCAAGCCAAACAATAGATAGTTTTAGACTCAACTCAGAGTCGTGACATTTGTCAAAGATTATATTCAAGTTTGGGGCGTTATTATTTCCAAGCTTAAAGATTGGCTCGTTTGGGTAAACAAACAAAGCTTAGATGCGACTTTGTTTGTTTGATATAACGAACCAACTTGAACTCGAGAACAAGCTCGCTGTTGGATATAATTGATGGTTCATGGTCACTATGCCCCAAAAGTTTAAATGTCCATTGGCTCATTGTCGATTATTTTTTATCGATTATTAGGGTTGAATAATAAACCTAGGAGAGCGAAAAACATAACCATCCCCCTGTCTGGTATTTGGTTTATGAAGAATTCTAATATATCTATTTTATGACTTCTACCAGGATTGAGTATGTCACTTTTAATGCAATTAGGTTTAAGTGATAGATTAGGATGACGGGTTGTTACAGTGAAAACAACCGATGCTGCTTTGAATGTAAATAAAATTTATACTGAACTACATAAATACCACATTGTATGTTCATAGCACTCGTGTTCAAGACTAAACTGGTTTAGATTGGGCTTGAGCTCAGTACATTTTTTCATCAACGAACTTGAACGAGTTTAGATACGAACTTATCCTGAGTTGTTTACCGATAAGTTAATTCATTTCAATCCTACTAAGAATTAGAAGTCGTAAAATGACAATTACTGATTAGCTAATTTAAAAATTGGTAGAAGACGTCAAGGATATTTCCCCCATTATCGAGTGTGGAAGAGCATAAAGGCTCAATTTCAAATCTAATTACCCAAATTTATATTATTCTTGTGGTTAAAGGATGTATTTTCATTCCATCCCAATAATAGAGAACTGTCATAATCATTTATTTTTTTGACTTGTTATAAAGTAAACTCTGTAGGTATACAGTCGTTGACAAATTATTCTTGAATTAAGCTAATTTTTTTGTTTGTGAAATTCAAGTATTAGAACTCCTTGTAATAAACCATGAACTCTTTTTTTTTTGTTCAAGGGCAGAAGTGTCTGAACTAACTTGTGCACACCTCGACCAGTCTTCTCTTCAGTCCAGTTAAAGACAATTCATCTACATCTAAATTAAGTTATTTATGCACTCTTTCAATCTAACAAAGAAATACACTTCCCTCCTAATAATTTCACATTTTTGTTCTCTCGATGCCTTGTCTGCTTGTCTCTTCGAAGAAATGAAGAATTCAAGGGCTAATAAGGAAAAATCTTTCGAACTTCCTTTTCTCTTCTATTTTCTTCTCCATAATCCAATTGAAAAGGGCCTTATGGCTACCAAGCGATGGCCCATCAGTTGTCCCAAACCCATTAACCACTCCAAGCCCAAGCTCGATTTTTACGGCCCTTTAAATACCCATTTTTTTTGGCGGGAATTCATTCATCGTTCTCCTTGAGTCTTCGTCTCTCTGTCTCTCTCACTCTCTTGTTCAATGTCCAAATTAACAGAAATAACCAATCTGTTCGCTAGTCTCGCATCGAACCTCGAAACCCTAGATGAAACAGCAACAAGTGAATCTCAAAGTACAGATCTCTCAATTTCAATCTCAAATCTGACCCAATCTCTAAATTTGACCCCAACTTCTAGGGTTAAGGTTTTGGACACCGCACTATCTTTGATGTGCTTCACAGCTCCACAGGTCACTAAGAACCCGAAACTTAAATCAGGGTTTTGGAAATTTTCTTTAAATTTATTTTTTAATGTGGAATTCTTATAGTTTTGTCATTTTCTTTAGGTTTTAAACTCGATGAATGAAGATTTGGTGAAAACTATAATTACTGCTTTGTCCTCATCGATTGGTTGTATGGTGTTGAGATTTGGTAAAGAAGAGGTTCTACGAGTTGGTGGGTCGATTTCGAGTCAGGATTGTGTGGAAGTGGTTCAAGCGTGTTCAGATGTTTTGGGAAGATGCCATGGTGGGTTTTGGTGGTGTTTTTCATTTCCTTTCTTTTTGACAAAAAATATATTTGAAATTGGCAATATTACATATGACTTGATGAGTATGTGTGAACTATGACGATGTTATTACCGATTATGGCTAACTTACATGGGGTTTAAGTTAACTGCTCTTTCATAATGTGTATGTTACTTCTTGTGAGACTGATTTAAGCAGATGCTTTCTAGTGCATATTGTTTTTTGAATCTTGGAGAAACTTGATAGTACACGTTGGGAATTTTAAGTCCTATCTGAGCTTGTGAAGAACATTTTTCGGATCCTATCCGTGAATTTGCTTTTGTCATGTTGTAGGGGTGCTTTCTCGTTCACTATTATATGCTGTTGCAAGAGTGGCGATATCAGCATCACGCTTTCGATATGCATTACAATTGACACCTATTCTTGATCTAAAATCTATGGTTGGAAGAACTCCTGAGTTTTCAAAGCTGCTATGCCATTTGCCAAAAGAAAACACTCTTAAGAGCCGAGAGATACCGTTGAGGTGAGCTGTGGACTTTTATTTACAATGTTAGCAAGAAGTATTTTGCTTACCTTTTTGGATATTATTTTCTACTTCATTGGACTAAAAGGGTGCTATCTTCACTTGTGTTGCTAAAATTAAAGCACATCATTATCTATATGATTTTCTATGTAGTGTGCCCGTTGTACATGTGGTTCTTGACTTCATCTGTCTGGATGGATCAATAGAGTTGCTTAGCAGTGACTATGCTGCAAGAATGTGTTTGAATCTTGCCTGTATTGTCTTTGAATTCTTTTTGGGTTTAATTAATAGGTTAATATGCTATGAAGAGGATTTTGTTGTTCAACCGTTCGTATGCAATCTTATTCTATTAAGAGAGAATTGCATTATTCCACTTCAATTATGCTAACTTATTCTATACCTTTTTTAACATACCACCTTCACATTTTTAACCGAATCTTTTGTGTAGGTTGCTTTTGTGGTATCTTGACCCACTAATTCTGAAGCACAATGTATCCCAGATACTGCACGATGCTATTAAAAGACCTTTTCTTTGTCTAAATAAGGAATTTTATGAGAGGATGGAATGGCGTTCTATACTTATGTGCTTGGTAGTTTCTCCTGCTGTGTTTATCGAAACGAGGGCTCTATTGCATAACTGGTTTCTGAAGACGTAAGTTTTTGGTTGTCATAGATTTTTATTTTCTTGTATTGTTATCGTATTTATCTTTATCTCGGAGAATCTGAGCACTTACCTGTGAAAGTTAAGCTTTTGCTCATTTGAGTAAATTTCTGCCGCTACTATTTTCATTGACATTCAATTATTCATTGTAAGGTCCAAATAGTTCGATTTGCTATTGTACATGCTGAGTGCCTGCATTCTGGTATCAGTTTGTTTGGGGACAAACTTGCAGCAGCTTGCATCTGTTTATGGGAACTGTCCAATGTCTTTGCTGCTAGGTCTTCAATATGTCCAGTTACTAAGTTTAACTCTAGTAGCTAACTTCTAAATCTGACATATGGCAAAAATTCTAATCACAGTTCTAATTACAAGACCCATGGCATCATATCAAGGCCACTGTGCTGATCAATCATAGGCTTAACAGTTTATTTGACTTACCTTAATGAAGTTGGACCTTTTCCTACATGGAATTAAATTGAATGATACAGTTAACTCTGCTGGTATCAGCTGTCATGTTTTGCCTGCTTTCTAAGGTTAGAAAGCTACACCTGTTGTTGGACAGAGTTCAATGATATCTAATTATATCCACATTTTTCGATAAGCTAATGATATCCACGTAACCACAAACTATCTTACCTGATCGATTAGTATATCCGACTTTTTAACTTTAAATGTTTTGTACATAACAGGGGTTTGGCTTCTGTATTAGAGCTTCAAACTGAGTTAGTCTCCTGGTGCTGGATGTAGTTTCCAGACCGATGTGGTGGGGCATATCAATGGACGTGGGATCAAAGCTTCCATTTTCTCGGGCATATTTTCCGAACCATCAATTATTAAGGACTCTGACTGGGCCACTGTATTGCCAAAGTTTTCTACTGTTACTTCGTAATATAAGCAAAGCAGCTCCCCACACTAAAAGACATTCTGATCCAACTCCTAGGCAAGCTGGAACAAAGATTACAATGGTCAATCATATTTCTATGTGGTATTTTTCTCCCCATGCCAAATCCATTATTGCATATGCTCCTGATGACTTGATTCTGCCACCAAAGATTTATGTTTCATCTGTCGCATTATAGGGCTCTGGCAATGAACTTCCCAGATTGGTTCTTTTTTGCCTCCGTATTACTCTTCTCCAGGAAAAGTATTCAAGACAATTTTCATTCACAATGCACATTTGGGGCATCCAAAGCAGAACAATCACATAATGTGACACCACCTTGTACTGTTGCTGCAGCGAGGTACATTGCATGGATTCTGAATCCCATCAGCGAATCTCAACAGGATCTGTTAATTGATTGTTTGACTAAATTATCAGGGTCCTCAAATCTTGAACAACTTGGCTCAGATAAATGTGAGACAGCAACGAGTGGCTACAAGAAGGAATTTAAGAAACACAAGTTCCATGGTAAGGAGGATCATATTTCCCTTGAGCAAAGAATTCTTGTATGGCTCAAAATATTTCAAGACATGTATGTTACTTATTGTAAAAGAGCTATCTACAGTTCTGCATCCACTGAGGTGAAAACATCTCTAGGACTTGGCCTTCAGCAAAATGCTTTATTTAGGAGAATTTCATTAGGCTTCTTGCTCGGGAACTACAATCGTTTAAATGAAGAGGGTTGTGAAATACTTTTGCATTATGCTGCCACTGGTACAATATATCCAACGACAGAAATCCAAAATACTGGTTTGAAGCACAAAAGATGGCACTCTGAACGGGAGGATGAATTAATTACGCGGACTAATATATATGACGAAAAGGAGGCTGTAGCAGGAGCCTGTCTTGTCTTCCATTTTACTGATACCATTGAGAATATGTCAGCTTCAATCTTCGAGACTGAAGAAAATGGAGTAGATTTTATTTGCCAGGTAAAATCAAAAGCTGGATATTATTTACTCAAGTGTGTCAAGAGGCTCCTCCAGCCAAAAACTGACGAAATTGAGGGACATTTGATTCTAAGGGATCTCTATGATAGACTGGTCCGGTGGAGACATCAAGGGCAGGATGTATTTCATGGTAACAATGATACGGATGATGCAATTGCTGCTTTGAGTAATAAACTGCATTCCTCCTGAGGAAGTTCTCTAGGCCTTATGTTGTTGTATTTTGTAATTTCTATACAGGTTGCATGAAGCTGTGTCACTAGTACGTCAATATAAGTAAGGAATTAATTTCTTGTTCATCAGACCTTATAAATGGGCTTGATATGTATTCCTCTTTTCACAACTTTTTCAAGCATTAGCTTCTCATAAAATGATTATTGCCCTCAATTGCTGCAACTCTGGGATATATATATATATCATGTACTGGCGGTGAACCTGTGCAATGTATGAGATTTACATTCTCATTCTGTTTCCAGCATCTTCTCCTAGTTCCTCCCCCCAATCCCTCACCACAATGCTGTTACAAACAAAGATATGATATCCAGTAGAACAAACGAAATGGATAATATGCTAGTGTAGACCATAAGAATCCAATTACTTATTGTCCAGGCTGTGTTATTTCAAGTATAGGAGTAACAAGATTGCTTTCTCATAGATGTATGGTTACAGAAGAAAATTTATTCCTATGCAAGCTGTATGCTTTATCCAAGAACTTCTAGGGATGGAAACCTTTGCATGTAACCGTAGCAAGCTCTCTTAATCGTTGAGTAGCATAAAGAGGCTAATATACACGATTATTTATACACATGAAGCTTATTTGCATTCACCGTTAGAGATTTTGGTATGGCCAAAAGGTGTGTAATACTACTGTACAAATGGACTCCCAAAAATCAAACTAATGGCCTGTGTAACTTTGTATATGTAAGCTTGTATATGAATACATCTTGAACTTCATCTATTTTATTAACACAATTGTGCTAGAGTTCAGCTACAAACAGCTTCGACCGACAGTTTCTTTGAGGTATCTGGACATGGATCTCCTCCAAAAAATTCAGGAGCCACAGTCACTAAACAAGCTTGCTTCCCTATGCAATTCTGCAGCAGAATCTCGTCATCATCCGAGATACAAGTTATGGATAAAACAAATGATTTTTTTGAACTGAATAAAACAAGTAAATTAAATCAAGAAATTTGAAGGCAATAACAATTGATCCAAAGCAGGACAAAATAATTAGCCGAGGTTCAATTCAGTAATTGTAGCAAGAGTTCTAATTGTTACTGACCATGCAGAGTACTTGTCATACCTTTTCAACTGCGACGTATGACTTGTGAGCATGACAACTTCCCTCTTTGAAGCTTCCATATGTTCCCTGAGGCATTCCATAACTAGCAAACTGTATTTTCGAGATTTTCTGCCCTGGTGCACACCACAGATGGGCTTTAGGTTGACGACTATTAACTTTCCTAGAGGATAACATATTCCAATTCTGTGGTGTAGGTTGCTCTTCGAAAATATCAACACAGACTCTTTCTGTTGTTCTTCTAACCAAAGAAATCTGAGTTGGGTTGCCGCCCCATTCCTCAAACACAACCAATAGGTTGCCACCAGGCTTCAGCCACGAGCGTGGAACATGATACCTGAAATTGACAGCCTCATCACAAAATCTATAATTTTGCACAAGTTAATGACATAAAATTAGACCAAACTTTTCTCACCATCTTTGAGAAGGCTCTCCACAGTTACTTTGGCATTTCTTCTCATCGTATGTTCCAGCATACCAACAGTCACTACAGCTACCATGTGCTATATATCCAGGCCAGTGGCGTCCTATGCCTTTACCATTTATCCATATTTGACCTTTTCCCATGCTACTCATATCTAAAGCTAATGGATCATCTCCTCTTGGAGCATTAAAAGAAGTCTGGAAAAGTATAACATTAATTGTGCATGCCTAATATTTGCACTTTATAAGAGTAATAAGAAGGCCCAAGTGTAACTTTTTGGTTGAAATTTACCTTGTACCAGGTCAGAGGCTGGTTTTGAGCCACCAATGAACCTTCTACCCACTCAACCGAAGAACTTCCACTGATTGTGTGGAGACTTAAGGCTTCACCTTTTAAACCGACCTGTTCAGGAGCATGCAAACTAGTTAGACTGCCACAATCTAGTTTTGAGTTTCTAATGTCCAGCATTATAACAACTCTATATTTTCCAATGTAAGTGATAAGAACATCCAGCCATTTTAATAAGCCTAGATAATCAGATCTTATTATACATCTTTCAACAATTGGGGAATAAATACTCACAAATATGACTAGTGAATCTGGGACCACCTTCAAAACTACCAGACAATCCCAACCTTTTTGAAACTGCCCATACATAGTATGCTTCTATTTCTATGACGCGTATCTCTCAGTGGTGTCATTCTAATAACTTCTGTACCAAAATTATGCTATAAGTTCCTGTCGAGTTTACTTCTTGTCTCGGGCTTTGAACTTTTTAGATGCAAGCAATATAGTTGGCAACAGAAAGTGGAAAAAAAATCCTTAGAAAGCAAACCTTGTAAGACCATTTATGTCTAGTCAAGTCTCTTGTCCCCTCATTGAGACCCTTCAAGCTAACTGGACCAAGAACCCCCGCATTCCATGTTTCAAAATGCAAGCCAACATTCTGTAATTGGCCAAATTATGAAAACATAAGGGCTTGAAATGCAAGTTTATCCTCCCATTAGAAATATTTCGAAGTACATAGACATATCAGAAATTTAAGAGCTAACCGGAAGACCGACTGCAATGCTGAGTAAGGAAATCTTGTTAATGCCAGCTCTTAACTTCACACTGTCACTATACGTCAATTTTGGATTCTCCAATCCCCCATATACAGTTCCTGACATAAGCCCAGGAGTAAAATTAAAAAAGCATCTAATACACAGAAGTGAACGTTGTGGTTTATGCAACAAGAGAACTTCCCAATCTTGAAGTACACTCCATCTACCTGATAATTGACCATTGATGAAGACACTCAAGGCATGACCAGCTGACATAACAGTGAGAACTAGGTTTTCTCCATTCTTTAAAAATCCTTCATCAGATGCTATGTTGACTCTGGATAGTGCAATTGAGCGTAAGAATCAAAATCAGTACTAACAAAATTATTTCCAATGATTCTTATTTATGATATAAATCAGAAAATTAAAAAAAAAAATTTATCCAAAGAAGGCAAGCAGAAGGTCAGTTTTCAATACTCACTCTGTCAGGTACCACAAATAGTCTGAGACATCTTTGGTGACGTTTAGTTGCTCCCACAACCCATCCATTGCAAGAGTATCACTTTGATCAGAAGAGGGAGTTTCTTCACTGTATGACTGCCAAGGGAACGATCCACTACTTACAGGAATCATCTTCATCAGCGAGCTTTGGGAGCTAATCTGCCGCGACATATGTATTGATATTAAAAGACACTCTTGGGAGTCCTTTGGTATAGACTATGGATATAGTATAAGATGCTCACATTCTACAACTTAGTAAAGGAAAAATGTATATAAAACTCTACGAATAAAGTCTTTCCAGGTTAACCATTGAACATTTAAGATCAACAAAGGCAGATAAAGGAAAAATAAGATGGACAAGCATGAAGGTCTTTCCAACCAAAAGAGGAAATATATAGAAAGTGGTTGTCATGCCCAAGAGGGTTTTTTCTCTTACTCTTGCAGTATTGAAAACTACATTCTTGCAGTCGGGGAGAATGCTGATGGACCAAGGAGGCAGGTTGTATTGCATATTTTGAAAGGTCACTTTCACTGAAGATTTAGGGTCGTAGTTGGAAAGGAATGCAGCACAAGCCCCCGACTTTGAATTAAATACATGAGCCTAAATACAGATATGAGAAGAGAGAGTAAGTTTTAAAGGGGAAAAACAAAAGAGATAAATGCAACATATGCTATATAGTTTTCTCTCAGTCAGCTTATTTAAACTAACCTCTAGATTATTGCCAAGCCAGGTCACTGTAGGATATGCCGAAACCAAAGCTGGTTCACATAACTTGATGGCTTTATGCAAGTCTCTCAAATGTCCCCATTTTGGTCCCCTCAGTGATCCTTGTGTATAATAATTAATCCATCAGGACCAAGAGCTCATATTATGATTCCAAGGAAAGTGTGTATTTTTATCACTATTGTCCCTTGAAGTTTATGGGCGCATTGACCAGTCTTGTTCCCTTTATTTAAAATATGCGTGGTTTATGTGTGATTGTGGGTGTGTGCACGTTAAAATATGATCCTAATATACTTTAATTTTTAATGTTGTTGGTCAAGGTAAAGACCATAATACTAAAAAATGACTCCATCAGAAGATAACCTAAGCTGAACCTGGATGCATACCATATTCATCAATTGGGGCATCATAATCATAGCTAGTGGCAACAAAAAGACCAGCAGATGTCCGACCAAAATTTGTTCCACCATGGTACTGGAAACCAACAGATAAACTGATCAGAACTTCCACTAAAAAGAAACATTTGGTTTTATTACTGAATCATCAATACTATTGGAATTATTTATCTCAAAAACACACAGAATAATTGACTAACCATGTAATAATTGAAAAAGGAACCATTGTTCTGTATGAATCTCACAACTGAAAATGCCAAGTCTTCTGCAGGTCTATGAGGAATGGGACCACCAAACTGTGTGTACCTGGGGGTATAACAGAGGAATGAGAAAAATTAAATCCAGAGAGAATTCTGATCAAATTGTAACAAAGGCAATATATGATCGATTACACAAGTGAATACACTAATCGAGAGAGACAAAAAGAACAAGAAGAATTAGTTTTGGGGATAAAGATGACACTTCGTGCCTTACCCGCCAGTCCAGACTTCTGTCCACATTTTGGGTTTATAAGGCTTGCTAGGATGGAAACCTTCACAGTAGAAACCATTGCAAGTATCTATCTGTTTCACAAATAAGAAAATGAGGTCTAGAGAGAGAAATAGAGAAATTTCTGGAACCCTTATCCATCCCCTTACTAGTAACAATAATTTTTAGACATCCCTAGAAACCGGCTAATTCAACTGCAATAAATCTCTACCAAAACTAGTAATTTCAACAGCATCACAAAATATTATTTCGCCTCAATACTTACAATGAAACTAAAATAAAAACGGACTCATCAAGTAAACAGAAGAAAGCTCAAAATTCAAATCTAAGAAAAACTGAATTACTGCATAAGCATACAAAAGAGATTTCATTCTATTCGAAGTCACTTTAACTGGCCAACAAATATTCAACAACACAACCTGGAAATATGTGCATAACAAATGAATGGCAGCATAATGATTATAGGAAAATGACAAGAAGTATTGAAAAGAAAACATCAAAAAAATTTGGGAATTGCTTACAAGCGGATCAGGGGCATCCTCTTGTTTGCACATGATCCACGGGACACCAGTGCCAAGACCCACAGCCATTTTGGCTGCCCATTTCGTGTAGGCTTTACCAGGAGCTCCAATTTCCCACTCTACTGGTCCATATTCATTCTCTATCTGGAACATGCAATCAACACAACTGATTCAAATAATGAATGAGTTGAGAACACTAAAAATCGGATCAGGAGAATTACTAAAAAAATTCTAGAAACATGTTAAAGAACAGAATGAGCTTATTTGTCCAACCTGGGATATAATTATTGGGCCTCCCTGAGATTCAAACAATTTTTCTGACTTCATCATGTTGACAATTTTTCCGACAAATCCTTCCATAGCCACCTTCATTATAGTCCATGAAGTAATTGCAATAAACAAATTAGCTAACTGGCAGATTAGGGTATTTCAGATAGTGACCATATAATGCATTTAATCAACCTTGAAAGGCTGGTTGTCTGTTCTAAATTCTATGCCTGGTACATACTTTAGCCAAACAGGAAATCCCCTGCATCACCATTAGAGCAGAAAACAGAGGTTTAATATATATATATATAAACGTATCATAGGTGTATAGGCACAAATTTGCTCAAAATGTTTGTGTATAAACATCTGTATTGTACCCAAAGTTCCACTCAGCACAAACGTAGGGACCAATTCGGAGATGAACATAAAGGCCGGCTAGCTGTATCAGTTTGATGAATTTGACGAGATCATAGCTCCCTTTAAAATAGTACTGAAAATAAACAATGAAAAATCAATCCAACCATCAAAGCATAATAATAATTAAAAAGTTATGAAAGATACAAAAACTGAGTAGTATCATGGAAATTTTGCGTTACTTTTCCGGGAGAAGGCTCATGGCCATTCCAAAATACGTAAGTTTGTATAACATCCAAGCCTCCATCTTTAGCCTTCTGTATAAGATCAGGCCACATCTACACACACCCAGAATAATATAAAACCAACAAATATCAGTAAATCAGAAACAAAGATCAAAAGCATTATAAAAATGCAAAACAAAGAATACCCATTGGTCAGAAAGGCATGAAAAATCTGCAGAAACACACACACACACAGAGAGAGAGAGAGAGAGAGAGAGAGAGAGAGAGAGAGAGAGAGAGAGAGAGAGGTACACAAACAGCCACATTGGCGTTGATACCTCAGGGGTACTTCTAGGGTAGTGAATAGAACCAGAAATAAGGATTCTTCTTTGGCCATTAATGATGATAGCTTTGTCATCATAGGAAACAGTAGCTGTAACTGAAGAACAAACCAATGAAAATAAGGCTACCAACAGTAACTTGGTGATTCTCAGAATGGTCCACATTAAACCCGTGACGCTCGATCAGGTCTCAAATCACGTCGTATTCTAAAATCTTTATTTTCTATGTAGGGGAAGAATGACAGTTCTGTCTTGTCTTCCCTTCTTCATTGCTTCTTTTTAGAGTGATAGAAAATAAACAACACAGTATTGTGAACTGTATTTAATACACAGAGAGAGAGAGAGAGAATCCGTGAGTTTCCGTTTGGTTATGTGCAATAGAGGAATGGGAAGGTGAGCAACTGCTTTTATACGTTGAAGAACCTGGGACCTACTTTCTCTTTGTTCTCTGTTTGTTTAGGGAATAATGGTATTTGTAATTAATTTATTAGCTTTTGCATCGGGATCAATTAAAGATCTTATTGAAACTTGATTTTAATTCGATAATTTTATCGTTTTATTAAAGTCAAATCATTAGATCAACATTGCTCTTAGGAAGCAATGTTATTTAGATCTAAAAATTAATTTAATGATATCGCTTCAATAGAATCATCAGATTAATATTAAATTCTCATTTTAATAAAACTTACAATCAATCTAAATACCATATTAAATAAGTCAGTAAATTAAGTGTCAATAACATTGCCCTTATTTAGGAATGTTTTGTTAGGGCTATGGAGAGTAAATATTACATGTAATGGTTATATTATATCGTCATGTTAACACTAGATCGTCGTACAGTAACTTTCTCGTGGCATTTAGAAATTTAGGACACCCCGTATAATTATTCACAAAACTATTACCCAAGTGTAAAAAAAATATATAGAGAGTTTTCCATATTGCCTATATAAGATTGCCCACAAAGTTATTGTAATAAGGTCGCTGCTCACTAAACTTAATTGGCAAGGGAAATTAGGCAGCATGGTGATATAGATCTTCATGAATGCAATGCGTACAAGGGAGGAAGACTTGATATATTTGAAGCCAAAGCAATACCCCAGTGAAGGTTTCACCCTTTTTTCAACAAACACTCCAAGTTGTAAGTCCAATTATGTCATAAAAAAAATTATTTTTCAGCATCATAACTCCTATTTTTCACCGATTAGAATATGACGCGTGTAAAAAGTACATATATATATTTTTATTTTTTTTGTTTTGTTATTTTCAAGATCGACAAATAAACTAATATAAAATCTACGGTTCATATATGAGATGTGATATCATTGCGCTCTATAGGGGTATTCAGATTTGTTTCGAGTACTCCGTCGAACTCAACGATTAGCTACCGTGACTTTCATACTGCTCTCTTTGATAATGTCCCAACTCACCAATTTTTCACCCAAATTACCTACCATTTTACCAAGAACTTTGCATATGGTAAATCTGCTTTTCTTTTATTATTTTTTTTGGTCAAACTGATGAATGCATTTATTTTACGAGAAAAACTATATTTTCCCACACTAAATTCCAAAAAAAATCATCGCAAATGAATTGACTACTTCACCTATCATTCTATGAGTCCTAATAATCCAGTTTTTTTTTTACTCCGGTGTGAGGTGTCGATACATTTGGAATGAGTTTTTTAGAATTTATTTTCGACATGACAACATTTATCTTATTTTACACACCACCAAGCATGACGGAATGCACCGGCTGTTACAAATTGATAATCATTTCCGGAATAATATTTATTTTTAGTCAAAATTATTATTTTTTTAATTAATATAGTCTTTGATGTTTTAGTCAAGCAATCAGAAAAATAAAAAATAATTTTTTTATTATGGATTTTGTATGCAGATGAGACGTGGCATAACATAATATGTAAAACCCCTATTCCTAGCCATCTCAAAAAATTATAAAATAAATGAAATCCAGCAAAATAACACATTGTTTGGCATTTATTTCTTGAAAGTAAATTTTTTTATATATCTGGGTTATGTTTTATTATTTTGGTACTTCATCAATCATGGGTTGGAGTGGATGAGAAAATATTTACTTAAAAACAAGTTACCAAGAAAACGAAACAAGTATGAGAACCTAATGCACGTAATTTACATGAGATTAAATGAATCACGAGTCTTTGTTAATGTGTTATAGCCACGATTCCAAATGATATGTAATTGTTGTAATATGGTTATCCATAAAAATAAAAATACTAATGAAATATTCAACATCTTTAACAAACAGTGAAAATTCTTTACTTGATGCTTAATTCATATGACTACATACAAAAAGTGCCCTACTTTAATGGAATTAATTAAGTGATAAATAAAAGTTAAGGAGCTTTAATGCATAGATGCTTTGCCAACCTCCTCAAGGTTTTAAACTGGTGAGCATAAAGAGTAAATCTTGCTTAACCCAAGAACATGATATGCTTAACTCTATTTTCCCTAATTTATTCACATGTTAAGACATTAATATCATGTAAGGGTGGATGACATAAAGCAATGAATATGATTTGTTGATCTCAAAAATTGTTCACCAGGTGGATGGCTAAAATTGTGACTTGGTAGCTGGCAGGGATGGTCCTGTGCAAAGGAAGTCGAGGACCGGAGGGATTCTGGTGGTTGACCCTCCAAGAATAAAGTCAAAGATGTGGTGTCTGTTGGCGTGAGTATCTCAATTGGTTTGAATTAGTTAATCTGAGTTAGAATGCTAATGAGCTAAGGAGAAAATATTCAGTATTTACCAGGTATCAGGCTGTCATTGACAGTTGGTACTCATCATCACCAATCAACGGATGTCACCTCAAGATAGGCAATGGAGAGAGAAAAAATGAGTACCAGCCATATCTTGATTGGTGATGAGTACCAGCCATCAATGACAATCTGGTACCTGTCAATGACAAAATATGAGGTGACATCCTTTGATTGGTGATGAATATCAGCTGTCAATGACAGTCTGGTACCTGATAAATACTGAATATTTTCTCCGAGCTAAGAGCTGAGGTCTTCCCTAGTTACCAAGCACATGTGTTGAACTCCTGTCTAATTTATCATCATCATGATCAAATTATAATTCCCATCAAATTTAGAGTGAAAAATTGTGTTTCAAAATCTATCTATACTACTAATAAAAGACACTTGAGGTGAAAAACTTTTATGTTCCTAACATACCCTTAGTCAATTTTATATAGTAAATTTTATCCTTTACCCAATCCAATAGTTACCATACCTGATTTTATTGTAGATTGTACATATTCCAATGTTATATATTAAATGACTCTACAAATTCTAGGAATGAATGGATAATGAATATATTACCTCTTAGTTGGAACATGAAGAATGTGAGGCCTCCATACCTAGGCTTTACTCATTCTAGTATTGAATATTCAATGGCTATAAATCCTAGAATAAACAAACAAATGAATGTATTACTCCCCGATTGAAAATGAAGAATTTATTGTCTCCATATTTTGGCTGTACACATTCTTGCATTGAGAATATTCAGTGACTATGAATTCTAGGAATATATGTATATTACTTCCCAATTGGAACCTGAAGAATTTCAAGTCTTGCACCATTAGTCTTTCGATTTATTGTTTCCTTCCATTTGTCGTTTCTTATTGCTAAATCAGCTTCCTTATTTTTGCAGCAGGAACAAAGCTAATGTACAAGGTGGAGCAGTAGGTATCCTCTTAAGTTGCAGTGGAGGTCCTATTTTGGTCACACTTATGGGATACATTTCTACTGGTTTTGCATTCGAGTGTGGTTGTGGAAATCCAATTCTTGGGTATTTGATAGTTATTTATGCTTTTGCTTTAGGTTTTGTAAGAAGATCTTTGTCTTTCTTTGTTGTTTTACTTCAATGTGAAAGGAAAAACACAAACATTATACCCACTTAGTGAGGTATACATTTCTACTTTCTTTTTTTTCCTTGGTCAAAAAAAAAAAAAAAAAAATTAGCGAGGTATACATTCATTTGCTCCACACTGGTGAAATCGATCAATCATCATTCTTAATGAAGTGTGATAGTGCTCTGTTTGTTAACAACTGCTATGATGCAAGTTCATATAATCAAACTTGAATATCAAATATTTTACTTATTATTAGCTGCTTAGATTTATTGATGACTTTGTAATGGTAAGCATTCTCGCATTTTTACCAAATCTATTATGTTAGAACTATGCTCAAATCTTCTATCTTTTGTCGGTGATTGATATGCATTCTATAAACAATCCTCCTTAGATGACACATGTAATGTAACAAAAACCTTGACAAAGAGGTGATTAACTCAAGTACGATAAATACTTTTTTTTTCTTTTTTGTCATTTGCATTTTGTACTGTTCTCTTACAATATTATCAAACCCTCCGGTATCACCTATTGAAGGAATATTTGGTTAAATTTGTGTGTGTGTGTGTCTCTCTCTCTCTCTCTTTCTCTCACTAAAACACATACTCACATACAGACCTAAGATATCTCCACCTTACTTTGCCACGTATTGCCTTTCACTTTGGTTTATGACTTCTTGACAATTGTCTTCCTTTGTAAATTTTACTTATTTGTTTTCCTTCTTTTGGCATGTACAAGTGAGTATGCTAACCTGAAGTCTCCCAATTTGTAACATAGTTACTAACAAACTTATAGGTTTGGCAAGGTAGCTATTTTTCTTTTTGATTTGGAAATATTAACGAAAAATTATATTTCAAAATAATCCACGTGCAACGCACGTGTGGATGATCTAGTAAAGCCTAAAAAACGATCATTTTGAAAGGTCCTACTTCTTTCTTGACCTATTCAAGTCATGAAAGTGACCTTTTGGATTAGAAAACATGGGTTCTGAGACCTTTTATAATCTATTTACTTAGAAGTTATGTATTGGTTCAACCACAATAATATAATTATACTATGACCACTATTGAGATTAATATGTCATATAGGTTTGGCTAGGAGGACCTATGTTATCCCTCTTTCACTTAACAAGATCATCTTTAAATGCTTTAATGCAATGTGACATTGTCCTATGCTTCAATACTTAGAATCATTGAGTCATTTTGTATTCGTGTCGAATATTTATTAACATTAGTCCAACTCATTTAATTAATTGTGTCCGATGTTATAACAC